CTAGTATGCCTTCTGTTCTATTGAGTGAGTGCAAGAAACTGCCCATTCAACTATCAAAACTACCCTATAGAGTGCAAATAAGTCAGTAATTTGGCCAGTTTTACAAAAAATTTAACAAATTCCAGTTTAAAACAGTCTAAAATAAACACTAGGCATTCCAGCCACTAAACCAATCCATTCATTAATCGTCCCCCAGCCCCTCTCATATAATACTTGCCCTCCCTTTTTTATTCCATCACACATAAAAAAAAAGAAGTTTTATCCTGTTTCTTGGATATTTAACCCCTTAACTGTCCAAACGTAGATCTACGTTCACTCTCCCAGCGCTCCAAATATTTTGAAAAAAAAAAAAAAAAAATTAAAAATGAAGAGAATGGTTTTTTACAAAAAAAATCAATACTTAGAGATATAAGGGCACAAAGTTGGCGCTTGTCACTCGCCTGATGGCAACATTTTTTTAATTTGTATAATTATTTTTTTTAATAATAATTTTTTTTAATTTGTATAATTTTTATGTTCGGATAATTACAATTTGTAGTAGTTCTTGTGATTTCATAGTTAATCTTTGTTCTGATACTAATATTAAGTAATGAAAAAATACTCAAATAGTCACAAACACATTGACAGGTGAACATTTTTACCTACCTTAGTCACATACTATTATCTAGAAACATATACAGTATTTATAGGTCCCAGCAATGTTTTGGATATGCGGGAGTATATAAGAATAATAATAATAAGCTCCCTTGAAACATGATGTAAGACGTGTGTCACTCCACTGCTGACAGTGCAGCTAATGGTGACATTTGATGAGTGTACACTGCCTTTGCTTTATTTGTTTTCACTGTTACAAATAAACATGTCTGTCTGTCTAGCTCTCTGTCCATCTGTCTGTCTAGCTCTATCTGTCTAGAGCTCTGTCTGTGTGTGTGTTTTTCTGTCTGCCTCTGTGTCTCTGTCTTTCTCTCTCTTGTTTCAGAGAGTTGTTCATGAACCAACTGATGTTACACACGATCACGTCTGCTTCCTGAACAAGGAAAAATGCGTATTACTTGACAGTTGCCAGTCATGCATATTATGCATTATATCTACAAGCACAGTATAGCTTTTTGTCTGGATTTTTTGGGTTATCCTAGGTAATTTACACTGTATAATTGAATTTACGTATGTGTTCCTGTGAGATAGAGACAGAGATACAGAGAAAGAGACAGACACAGATACAGACAGACAGAGATACAGACAGCCAGCCAGCCTGCAGAACACATACTGTACATTCCAGAATTGTTTCTTTTTACTTAGGGCATAGGTTATAAGACATTCTGGCAGGATGACACTACCAGTGGTACCAAATTTTGAAAGGGTGTTTCACAAATGTTGCACATGGGTTATTATCAAGGTTTTTGAGATTTCCGTGATCACTTGTGGCCACATCCACCACATAGCCACTAAACACAGGGTCAGCATCACTTTCCTCTTAAAAGGGAAGTGTTAATACGACATGACATCAGTGAATCCTTGGTGTTTGCTACGCTGTTTGCTCTAGCTGGCGCTCAATTGAATTGGTGCTCCCACAAGGTACTAAGTAGTCCCAGATTTTTTTTAATACTGCGCACACCAAGGGTCAAGACCCATTCTGTGCTGACCAGTCATCTCAGGCCAATCGTGCCAAATTTGGAGGCAGGAAAAACAAAACGTAGAGCTATGTTTGGAGCGCTAGCAGTAAGAACATAGATCTACATTTGGACAGTTAAGGGGTTAATTATTGTATGGCCAAGAATTATTGGTCAGTGTTTAGACTGTCCCAGTAACTGAAGCAGACCTAGTAAAAAAGTCAATAAAACAACCTGGGAAGGAGGGAAGTGTGGGGAAGCTAAGGAAAATCACCAAAAATCTTACATTTCCAACACATTGTGGTCTATTTGATCAGTTGATTCCAAGAAATAGCCAGTAAAACCATAAAAAACTACTCTAGAAAACAACTCGGTTGGTATTTTAAACTAAACACAAGGTCAGAAGTTTGTTTTTCCTATTGTACACTGCATGGGGCAGGACTTTTTTTTTATACTGTGCGCACCGACTGTATAGACCCATTTTTTTGTATCTAGGCCAAAATTTATTGCTACTAGCATATTTGAAGACACCATGGTTAAAACGGATTTATGCGAGTGACGCTACGTCATTAACACAAGCCTCTGTCTCCACACAGATGTATCTTACTTCCTAATACAGTATGAAAACAATTTACTACTCCTTAATTCCTTAATTCTTTTAGTAAGATATTGATGAGTAACTTTTATCTAATATTCACTAGTAATAATACAGCATGCATGTTAGATAGGACTGAATGGAGACAAATGTTTTTTTTTTGGATTTGAAGAGCTGTTGGAGTGTGAGCAGGGTAATATTTTCTGAAGAGATTCAGGGAAACCAGTTAGCTAGACTTGAGTCCTGGAGGTGGGAGGTACTATGCCTACACTATAAAGGAGGGGTTTGGGATATTTACTGTTTGGAGTGACACCTGAACTGTCATATCTGCACTCCTCTGCCTCTGAATGATGGTGAATTTTTTTTTTTTTTTGGGGGGGGGGGTGTCACTCTGCCTCAGTGGGAGATGGCTATCATGTTGAAAAAAAAATAATAAGGCAGGTTTAGTAATGAGCTATTTTGTGTCCATTTTTTGTGGTACTCTTTACTAATAATATGGCCTGTACCTGGCAAGTTTAAAAGTGAAATATTAGTGTATTTGAATTTACAAATGTGTTGAACTTTGATATACTCATCACTTATTATTTTGTATGCTCTTTAGAAGACTTATGCTAATTAATAATAATCATAGTTATACTTGCATATACAGTAGGGAAAAATAAGAGCTTTATCCCTTTGACTGTCGCAGGCCCCTTTCTGAAACTGTCATTCTATGTCGATAAATTTTTGGAAAAAAAATTATTTTTTCTTATGAAATGATAAAGAATCTTTTCCCGATGGTAATGACACCAAAAGTACGAAATTTGGTCGAAAACTCACAGAATTACGCTCCCACGAAGTTAGCGGTCTTGGTGACACATATGCATCGGCGATTTTGCCGAATTTGAGCCCTGTTTTTGGCCAATTCCTTTGTTCCAGTTGACCAAACTCAGCTATTTCTTTAGAACTCCATTTTTTCTATCTGTTGAGTACAAGAAACTGCCAGTTTACAGATTTGAACTACCCAATAAAGTGGTTATGAGGATAAAAATATTAGGTGATGAAAGATTGGATATCAGATTGGAGGGAGAGAGTATGGAGGAGGTGAATGTATTCAGATATTTGGGAGTGGACGTGTCAGCGGATGGGTCTATGAAGGATGAGGTGAATCATAGAATTGATGAGGGGAAAAGGGTGAGTGGTGCACTTAGGAGTCTGTGGAGACAAAGAACTTTGTCCTTGGAGGCAAAGAGGGGAATGTATGAGAGTATAGTTTTACCAACACTCGTATATGGGTGTGAAGCATGGGTGATGAATGTTGTAGCGAGGAGAAGGCTGGAGGCAGTGGAGATGTCATGTCTGAGGGCAATGTGTGGTGTGAATATAATGCAGAGAATTTGTAGTTTGGAAGTTAGGAGGAGGTGCGGGATTACCAAAACTGTTGTCCAGAGGGCTGAGGAAGGGTTGTTGAGGTGGTTCGGACATGTAGAGAGAATGGAGCGAAATGAATGACTTCTGTAGTGGAAGGAAGGCGGGGTAGGGGTCGGCCTAGGAAAGGTTGGAGGGAGGGGGTAAAGGAGGTTTTGTGTGCGAGGGGCTTGGACTTCCAGCAGGCGTGCGTGAGCGTGTTTGATAGGAGTGAATGGAGACGAATGGTTTTTAATACTTGACGTGCTGTTGGAGTGTGAGCAAAGTAACATTTATGAAGGGGTTCAGGGAAACCGGCAGGCCGGACTTGAGTCCTGGAGATGGGAAGTACAGTGCCTGCACTCTGAAGGAGGGGTGTTAATGTTGCAGTTTAAAAACTGTAGTGTAAAGCACCCTTCTGGCAAGACAGTGATGGAGTGAATGATGGTGAAAGTTTTTCTTTTTCGGGCCACCCTGCCTTGGTGGGAATCGGCCAGTGTGATAATAAAAAAAAATAATAATAAAGTGGTCAGACATTGGCAATTTGGCTAATTTCACGCAAATTAAAAAGATGCCAATTTCAAAATAGGGTCCAGAATAAACAATGTAGACATTCTTGGTACTAAAATAACATATCCTCTATTCATTAGTCACGTCTCTAGGCCCCTCTTGTATTACTATTGCTTTCTGTTTTGATTTTTTTTTCATACAAAAAAATACAAAATTTAATGTTATGCAGACTATTGCATTATTGTAAAAATGGTATAAATAATATCAGTGCACTAGTGAAAGAATATTAGACGACTCAGTTGAAGGGTATTGGATGTGTGGTGTGACTTGCTTACTCCTGAACATTGGTAAAAATCGAACATTTCTGCTACTTTGAGCTCAATTTCAAGGTCGTTTTGCTTACTCCTGAACATTGGTAAAAATCGAACATTTCTGCTACTTTGAGCTCAATTTCAAGGTCGTTTTCATCATGAAAGTAATCAAAATCATCTCTATTTCTGTAAGATGTTTTCCATTTTATCACCTGAGATCATGAAAACGGGAATACAACGATAAATACTATACGAAAATACACCTCAAAGTTGGCGTTTTAATCCAAAAAAAACGGTCAGTTTTTTTTTCTCATTATGCACTGCATGCTGCAGGATTTTTTTTGTGGTGCACACTGACCACACAGACCCATTCTCTCACAGGTGGGCCTACCAGCTTTCTCCCGCTTGATTTGAAGCCACTAGAATTTACGCGTATAAATATGTCAGAAACAGTTGTGCATGAGACGTATATACGACCAAAACAGTCAAAGGGTTAAATATAATTTCAGTATTGTGTGCAATTTTTATGCTTAAAAGCTAAACTTGTACATTTCAGGTATACTTGATTAATGAAATCTGTTCTTTTAGGTGAAATGCAAGAAATCAGGTGGGGGTGAGCGTATTATATACCAGTATCACTACACCAACTGGCCTGACCATGGTACTCCAGACCATCCTCTGCCAGTTTTATCATTTGTACGCAAGTCTGCTGCAGCTAACCCAGAAGATGCAGGTCCTATAATTGTCCACTGCAGGTATGCATAATGTATTGTAATTGCGTTATTCAAATCTTTACGTTTTTGTTTCTAGAATTATGCTCAATTTATCAAAAATATATGATCATTTTCTATACTGCAGGGAATGTTTGTTGTTTTTAAATGGATTTTTGGGAAGATATTACTGTCTTGTTTCTCTTCTTGTATCCTGGCCTAGGACTAGGTTTCTGTTAACCCTTTGACTGTCATAGGCCCCTTTCTGAAACTGTCATTCTATGTCGATAAATTTTTTGAAAAAAAAAAAAAAAAATTATGAAATGATAGAGAATCTTTTCCTCCCAGTTGTAATGACACCAAAAGTTCGAAATTTGGTCGAAAACTCACGGAATTACGCTCCCACGAAGTTAGTGGTTTCGGCAACATATATGCATCAGCAATTTTGCCAACTTTGAGCCCTGTTTTTGGCCAATTCATTTGTTCCAGTTGACCAAACTCATAGCTATTTCTTTAGAACTCTGTTTTTTCTATCAGTTGAGTATAAGAAACCACCCATTTACCAATTTGAACTACCCCAATAAAGTGGTCAGAAATTGGTAATTTGGCCAATTTCACCCAAATTAAAAAAGATGCCAATTTCAAAATAGGGTCCAGAATAAACAATATAGACATTCTTGGCACTAAAATAGCATATCCTCTGTTCATTAGTCACATTTCTAGGCCCCTCTTGTATTACTATTGCTTTTAATTTTTATTTTTAATTCATACAAAAAAAATACAAAATTTACTGTTATGCAGACTACTGCATTATTGTAAAAATGGTATAAATAATATCAGTGCACTAGTGAAAGAATATTAGACTCCCCAGTTGAAGTGTATTGGACGTGTGGTGTGATTTGCTTACTCCTGAACATTGGGAAAAAATAAAACATTTCCGCTACTTTGAGCTCAATTTCAAGGTCGTTTTCATCATGAAAGTAATAAAAATCATCTCTATTTCTGTAATATGTTTTCCATTTTATCACCTGAGACCATGAAAACGAGAATACAACAATAAATACTATATGAAAATACACCTCAAAATCAGCGTTTTAGTCCAAAAAAACGGTCTTTTTTTTTTCTCATTATGCACTGCATGCTGCAGGATTTTTTTTATGTGGTGCACACTGACCACACAGACCCATTCTCTCACATGTGGGCCTACCAGCTTTCTCCTGCTTGATTTGAAGCCGCTAGAATTTACACGTATAAATACGTCAGAAACAATGGTGCTTGAGACGTATATATATATGACCGAAACAGTCAGAGGGTTAATTGCCTGTTGAATCCAGGCTTTTGCTGTTGGTGGCGTGCTTGCCCACATAGCCATCACACCCTGGTTGATATGGCACTTCGCAGAGGCAGTGCTCCAGTTTCCTCTTGAAGCCTACATTTATTCTGGCAATATAGCTGATATCTTGGACCTCAGATGTTGACACACTGCTCTCTTATTATGCCTGTGGTGCCCCTGCCTTTCACTGGGTCTGTTTCATCCTTTCAATTTATCTTCCTCTGGTACCTTGTTATGGTGACCTGTATATTTGGGACCATGCCCACAAGTACTGCACCATATCTTCCATGAATATGTTATCAAATGTAGTTTCTCTCTATTCACTTTTCCAGAGAGAACAGTTCAATTGTATATAGGTGTTTCCATTATTTACTGTTGATGTGCTTATCTTTGATGTATTTGTTCCTTACCTTTGATATACTCATAAGTTACCTTTGATATAGTCATACCTTACCTTTGATATACTCGTATCTTACCTTTGATGTGTGTCTGGTGGGTTTTGACAGGCATGATCTCTTTGCTCAAAATTCATGCTTGTTTGGGTTGTGTAGGTTATGCTGTTTTATAAAGTTATTAATTTTGAGTTGCATCAAAGTATTCTATGATGTGCAGTCAGCAGATTATCTCTGTACCCTTTCCAGAGCTCAAACAGTATATCCTGCCCTAAGCAGCTGCCAGCATCGTATGTTTTACCATAAATTTATATTTAACCAAAAAAGGTAATTTATTTCATTGTTGGTCACTAGTAAAGAGGCAATTTTTGTGATTTTTTTTTTCTCATAATTTGACACTTGGTATAGTTTGAAATTGGAAAGTATGATAATATGAAATAATTTTTTTTTCCTACTAGTGCTGGTGTTGGAAGGACAGGCACCTACATTGTGCTGGATGCCATGCTGCAACAGATACGTGTTAAGGGTCGTCTCAACATCTGGGGTTTTCTTAAACACATTCGCACTCAGCGAAATTTTCTTGTACAGGTTTGTGAAGTCAAAATAAATGTTTACCTTCATAAAGATCATTAATGTTAAGTATTTTTTCAACAAGCAGTTATTAAGAGACCAGTAATTTTTATGCAGGAAACCCATAATAAATACTGTACTGGCCATCTGCCCATCCCTCAGTAATTTTGTGATAATGCCAATGTGTGTGGAGTTGTGAATGAATTTGTAATATGATTTGATAATAGACTGAAAGATATTAGCTGCAGCACAAACAAATTGCAAGAAATTGAGCATTCAAGATTTTTATATAAAATTGCAGTGTTTAAAACCATTCCTTAGACATGCACACTATGTAGTGATTTTTTTCAGCTTTTGTTTAAAGTATTTTTACCCATTCACACCACCCATCAAACCCACTCCATTACGCACATAGGTAATGATTGGCCTGGTTGTAATAGGTTTGGAGCAAAAATAAACATAGCAGTAGTATTTAACTTGTATTTTCCTTCACCAGTTATATATGCATTATGTACACTTATGTACATTATGTGCAAGAATGAAGTATAAGTGTACCAAATGGTGATAGAGGGAAAAACAGCAGCCTGAGAGAGAGAAGCGCACTTCAACCAGCTAAAGGCGAGTCTGGTAAATGTTGACCGTGAGTGACACCACATCTCAGCACTTGGCAGGCTTGTCTGTGATTGGTTAATGAGCCAAGATACTGATTTAACGATGGGTCCCCAAAAATCATTAAACCCATAGCACCCAGTTCACTGGTTAGGAGGCAGCCTATATGGGAGTGTGTATATACATTGAATAAAGTATAACGTACTCCTTGCATGCCACACCCCCACCCCAAAAGGGCTCTAATGGCCAGAACTAGGCTTCCACCTCCATGGGTAGCGTGCCGCCATGGCACTGAACAGTAATGGAACCGCCTTTCCTCTCAGTCATCCAACTCATTAGATGGAGCTAAACTTTTCTCAAGACATAAAGCCGAACTGTAAACTTAGAGCGAGACAGTGGACAGTAGGTCTAACGTAGGTTCAAGATACCTGCGGACGGTAACAGAATGTCCCCTCACTAACACCCCCTTTCCCATCAACATCACCACCAAAATATTTTATATATAAAAAAGGGGGGGGGAGAGAGCTAGGCTACCCATATAGACCCTAATACATCCTAAACTAATACATCCTAACTTAAATTTATATATGAGAAAGATAATTAGCCAGCTTATTACCCTTGCTGGCAATATGTACAATGTGACAATTTTAGGGTTGCAGACTGAGACTCCAATGCCTGAGGTGTGTGTTGTGGTTCTTTATGGAGTTGAGGTAATGACTGCCCCACGTAGATCTCGAAATGTTCTAATGCCAGTATTTGAGCAAGGGCTTCTTTTTCAGTTGTGGAGTAGGCCCCTCTGGTGAGGTTGATACTTAGCCGAGAAGTAAGCCACATGCTGCAAGCACTCTTCCCCATCTTTTTGTAGAAGTACTGCCCCTACCCCTGACTCACAAGCATCAACCTGTAATGTAAAAGAGTTTGAAAAATCAGGAGACATGAGAATGGGTGCAGTACAAAGCAGACGTTTTGCTTTAGTGAATAAGGCTTGGCACTCTTGGGTCCACTGAAACTGGGATTTCTGACTGGTAAGTGAGGTTAGGGGGAGCTACAACATCTGCAGAGTTCTTGCAGGATCGTCTATAAAACCCTACCATACCTAAGAAACGTTGGAGGGATTTCTTATCATTAGGTACTGGATAATTTTTAATGGCAAGAATTTTAGCAAATTTAGGGGCCACTTTGCCACTACCTACTTCATAGCACAAAAAACTAACAGTAGATTGGCCAAAGGATGACTTAGATAAATTAGCAGTTAATTGAAAACTCTGAAATTTCTCAGAGAACTTTAAGTCTGGACATATGTTGGTCCCAAGTATTGGACACGACTATTATATCTAGGTAAGCGGCTGTGCCTTCAAGTCCTGACTGCTGCCTTATAAAGTCTACATGAAACTGACCCAACTGACATTTGCCTAATTTGAATTCCCTCCTGTACTTGGCAGGAATACACTGATAAGCCCCAAGAACTGTGGTTTTCACCACCCAATAGTTGACAAATTTGTCATTATTCAACACAGATGTAAACTCCTGTGCCTTACCATACAATGCTGTATATACCAATGCTGCCCAGTGCACCTCAGGCCACCTTAATGCTCGAGCCTGATTTTCAAATGCCTCAAAAAACTCTTCAGGCTCGGCTTCAACAAAACAAGAAACTAGCTGTACTGCCTTTTACACACTAAAGTCATCTACAGTCTGCTTGAATTGCCTCCTCCTCTTCTCTCTATCAAACTCCTCCCTAGCATATGCTTGTTGTTTCAAGATTGAGTTTGGCTAACTCAAGCGCCAATGAAGCAGACTTGCCCTGAGACAAACCCAATGCACCTGTTGCTTCACAAGACTGCTGGTCTGATTGCTCTGGTGTTATTCCTCCCATATTATGAAAGGAACCTGAGCAGAGATCTGCGATTAACAGCTCCTGTAGTGGGAGATAACTCAGTTTGGTGCGCTATAGTTGCTTCAGCTCTTAAGAAC